CAGAAAGCTCTCAAAAAAAGAGAGGGGACCCAAAATGGGTTATCAGGAATGGGGGAGCACTCTGTTTTTCTCTCTCCTTTCTAGGGGTGTTCTCATTTGCATCTTACTCACCTCTTAATTTCCTAGCTATTTCCTGGTCCCAGCCTTTACTGTGCATGTGTGTGCCCTTATTCAAAGTTACTCCATCTTGATTATTACCTCGAGTACCACAGAAAAGCCCACTCTTGGGTAAAACCACAATGCAACTGTCATGTTTGATGTTATAATAAACTTAGGTCAGGTTAGGACATTTAGTTGAGCTACTGCACCTGCACCCAAAAGGCAAAAAGTCCCATTGAACAAAACATCCTGGCTTAAGAGGATGTTCTTAACCACATTAACCACATTTTCAATTGCTAGTTACATAATGGGTGGTGCAGGGGAATTCCTGCAGGTGTTACTTCTCCTTGAGACTCTTCCTTTCTGTCTGCCTAGTCAGCCTCTAACTATCTCCTTTATCATCCACTCACACACATGAGCCCAAAGCTTTGTGCCTCACATTTCTAAATCAGCCCCGCTTACAGTCTTGTTCCTTCACTGAGAAGCTCCCCACCTTGAGCTCCCAGTATGCTGTCTTTTTTCTGCCTTGTGGAGCTGGTTCTGCAGAGAAGGGGGCTGAGAGTTTGAGGTCAGAAATATCAAGTGCCTGCCCCCAGGCAGAATGTCAGGACACCCAGGTGTTTATCTGCCTTTTAACCTTGCTGAATCAGGATAGGAGTGGGCACAGGCATTAGAGGGAGTGTGGCACTAACTGAACTCAAGACACCATGTGGCCACCTAGCTCTGCCTCAGATAGAGATTTAAACTTAAATTGAGTAAGGGGACGTGTTGCAGAGCTATGCAGAGGCAACCCCCCAGGGATGAGGAAGTAGGTGCTCTCTCTCTCACTGACAGGCTTCATGTAGGCTCCCACTGTGCCCAGGCTTCTGACCTCAGCCTTAAACTAACCGCCATGTGAGTCTTGGTAGAAAAGCAGTGTTAACCTTCTGGCAGGATGCTACCAATTAGGATTTCCTCCAGTAGGATAATGGTGGGGACAGTGACTGGGGGTTAGAGCAGTCCATGTGATTGTTGGGTTTAATGCCCCCTGGTCCCACCAACTTCTCACCGTCTCTGCAGCACCTACCCAGTTTAATGGTGCTCATACCTGGATGAATGCAGTAGCCTCCCTGGTTCTGCTCTTGCATTCTCACAACTGTTCTATTGGGCCACCAGAATGATCTTTTTTTTTATTTTGTATTTTTGAGTTGGAGTCTCACTCTGTCTCTATTTCAATGTATAAGATAAATGTTAAAGAAAAGATGTAAAATGTAAGTTGAATCATGTAAAACCCTCTGCTCCAAACCTTCCAAAGCTCCCTCAGACTAAAAACCAAGCCCAAGGGTGGCCCTCAAGACCCATGTTGCCTAGACCTCAGTTTGGGCCCTTCCCCTCACCCCGGCTCCACCCTACGTCCAGGCCTCAGCTAGTGCTCCTCCGCACCCAGATCATCCCACAGCTGTCTTCCTCACTTCCTCCCAGTCTTTGCTTAGCTGTCACCTTCTCACCAAGATGTGCCCATACACTTGGAAAACAGCTTAGCAGAGACTCTTCAGCACAGGGGAGCAAATCATATCCCAAAGTCGGTAACTTAAAAGCATTGGAAAAAACTTCAGGTCATTATGAAACCAATGAGTGGATCCTAGCCAGTATTATCTTAAAATGAAGTAGAATAGAAAAATATCAGAGTAAGGATATACTTTTGTTTAGTGGTGTGTGTGTGTGTGTGTGTGTGTGTGTGTGTGTGTGTGTGTGTACTGAGTCACAGTGTAAAGTGTATTTATTGCATGGGTCTTAGATCACAAAAGTTTGGGAAACATGGCTTTAGTTTGCTTAACACCATGCATTGGAAAGGGGACTCGAATGTAGTTGAATATTCAGAAGTCTTTCATAATAAACTCAGGGTGTTCTGTCTGTCTTAAGGGTAGATAGTCATACTTATGTCCTGGGCACAATATTTCCTTGTAGGGGTTCTTCAGGAAGTCGCAGCCAAAGATGAAATCATCCTTTATATGCATCCTCATTGTACAGGCTAGAAGTCACAAAAGTGTAACCACCACCTAGGGTTGGTTCACAGTCTAGACTTCAGGATTATTGGGAAAAAGTCTCCTATGTTTCTCTGCCAAAATGATGCTTTCTCACACATGATGTACTTTCTTGGGGGAGAAGGAAGGGGACAGTGATTTGTTTGGTTTGTTTTTTTTTCCTTTTTTAATAGTTTATTTAAAATAAATTAGAGAGAAAATATTTACCTCCCCAACGTGGGGGCAAGCATACATCCTTAACAAAAGATACTCATCCACAAGTTTTAAAAGCAAATTTTGAGAATTTCAAATGGTCAAAAATCTTTCTCCCAAAGCAAGATAAATAAGACTATGTTATTTCCTGGACGCCAGGAGTCAACAGAAGCAATCTCCTTACATTTACTGTTGCTTCCTCTGACTCTTTAAAGATTCAAGCCCAACCACTCTCAAACCTCGATTGGTTAGAACTACAGGAAAAGACAGCCCCAAACTCTCTAAAGATACATTGAGGAAACTTTCTATTGATTTTTCTGTTGAAGTGGCTCTAATTCCAGGCATTTGATTGTTTAGAGCAGCGGTCCCCAACCTTTTTGGCATTGGGGACCAGTTTTGTAGAACACAATTTTTCCATGGTCTGGGGCATGGGGGTTGTTTTGGGATGATTCAAATTGTGTACTTTATTTCTATTATTATTAAATTGTAATATATAATGGAATATTTATACAACTCACCATAATGCAGAATGAGCGGGAGCCCTGAGCTTGTTTTCCTGCAACAAGACAGTCCCATCTGGGGGTGATGGAAGACAGTGATACCCAAAGTGTGTTGCTTATGTCCAGTCTTTTCCATAATCTCATTTTGGTTGCTGTCACTGCAGAAAACCCTGCTTCACAGAGATAGGATGCTGGAAATGAAAGCAGGCTTTTCAGTGCTGATCTGATGGGAGGCAGAGCTCAGGCGGTAATGCAAGAGATAGGGAGTGACTATAAATACAGATGAAGCTTCACTCACTCACCCACCACTCACCTCCTGCTGTGCAGCCTGGTTCCTAACAGGCCACAAACCAGTACCAGCCCATGACCTGAGTGTTGGGGACCCCTGGTTTAGAGCCACCCACACATTTTATGATAGCAGTGGACTTTGTATCTGCCAGTAAGCAGAGGGCCTGAGGGCCTTCTTGACCCTTTCTTGCCTTCTTAGATAACATCTGTGCAAGAACACCAGTCCCTGAATATCCAGATTCCAGTTCTAGAAAGGAACAATGTTCTAAGTAGAGTTGTCTGAAATCAGTATTTTTTTCTTTTTCTTAAAAAGACATGGTCTTGCTCTGTTGCTCAGGCTGGAGTGCAGTGGCTATTCACAGGTGCATAGCTCACTATAACCTCAAACTCTTGGGCTTAAGCAATCCTCCCATCTCAGCCTCCTGAGTAGCTGGGCTATAGGCGTTGCTAACATGCCCGACTGAAATCAGTATTCTTATTCTGTGTTTGGGATTTCATGGCCAACCATATAGTCCTTTCTTCATCCATTCTTATCTCAAAGCTCTGAAACTTTATAAAGTTCTGAATTTTATGTTCTTAAATGAAGATATAGAACACAATATGAGTTTTTTCTTTTTTTGTTGTTTTTCTTTTTTCTTTTTTGAGTTGGAGTCTCACTCTGTCGCCCAGACTGGAGTGCAGTGGCCGCTCCCGGCCACCGCAGCCTCGACTCGCTAGGCTCCGGCGATCCTTCCGCCTCAGCCTTCCAAGTAGCCGGAATTATAGGCATGCGCTACCATGCCCGGCTGATTTTTTTTATTTATTGTAGAGATGAAGTCTCATTGCCCAGGCAGGTCTCGAACCCGTGGGCTCAGGCAATCCACTCATCTCAGCCTCCCAAAGGCGTGGGATTACAGGCTGAGCCACCAAGCCCGGCTTTTTCTTTATTTTTATTGTTTTGAGTTGGAGTCTCACTCTGTCACCCAGGCTGGAGTACAGTGGTACAATCACGGCTCACTGCAGCTTTAATTTCCTGGGCTCAGGAGATCCTTCTACCTTAGCCTTCCAAGTAGCTGGGACTACAGATGTGCACATCGTGCCATGCTAATTTTTTGATTTTTTTATAGAGATGAGGTCTCACTATGTTACCTAGGCTGGTCTCAAACGCCTAAGCTCAAACAGTCCTCTCACCTTGGCCTCCAAAGTGCTAAGATTACATGTGTAAGCCACTGTGTCTGGCCACTTCAATGTTTTCATTAAAGGGGAAAATATGAAGTGTGTGGGTTTTCTTTTTCAACATTTTTGTACTTAGCAAAATTGCCTACAGATCAGGAGAGGGTAAAGGGTTTATATGTAATGCTCAGCAAAAACATTCATAGAAGACTGGAAGGGAATGAGGTTGATGCCTTCTTGTTATTGAAAGATTCCCTCGGAAGGCTCAAACTCACCCTGTGAGTTAGCTTAGGGCAAGTTAGTACCCATGGGTAGAATGTATAAAAGGCAAGTACCAGCCCAAGACAAGGAAAAACTTCCTAACAGCTAAAGAGTTTGGCCAGAGGAATATCCCCCTTGCAAAATGGTAGGCTCCCTGTGCTTGAGAGGGATCCCACAGAGGTAGTGTGACAGGGTACCCCAGAGGGCTATAGAGGTTTGAGCTAGAAGATACCAGGCTCTTCTAGCTATTAAAGTTTATGAGTCAAGATTTTGGTCTGGGAGGAAGAAGGGGTGAAAATATGTTATTATTTCTGAAGAAAGTACAGTTGGCTTGGACAATTTCATTTTGTGGGATACCTGCTACCACTGTTTGGGGTTAAAGTCCTGCCACCAGTTGAACTTTTTGGTTCAATCATGCATATTTTTCGGAATGTATATGCTCTGGTAAGGAGAATTAATGTTTAACCTCTGTTCTGCCTATTAGGGTCATTGGTTTCCTGGAAGCTATTGTTTGCATAAAATTTGGACAAGATCTCTTCTCTAAGACCCAGATACTCTACGTTGTGCTTTGGCTTCTCTGTGTGGTAAGTCATTGCTGTTTTACCCAAAAGTGAGAGCTAAACTCCCAAGGTAGTTCTTAAAAAACATAGAAAACTCTTGTGCCCCAAGATTCCTTAGAAGTTCGTAGAAAGATGTTCTACTTAGTAATAACCCAAGATTGGCCACCAGTCTAAAGGTGAAAAAATAAAACACAGACAGCCACAAAACATCTGCAGCGGGTCATCTTGGTGTGTTCCGATCATATGCCCTCCGCAAGTACACCATATGGGCATTTATTTCACTTGCGGGAATTTGTCTTCACAGTGCTACACATTTAAGAACTGCCGCAAGCCGGGCTCGGTGGCTCAGCCTGTAATCCCACGCCTTTGGGAGGCTGAGGTGAATGGATTGCCTGAGCCTGTGGGTTTGAGACCCGCCTGGGCAGCGAGACCTCATCTCTACAATAAATCAAAAAATCAGCCGGGTGTGGTAGCGCATGCCTGTAATTCCAGCTACTTGGAAGGCTGAGGCTGAAGGATGGCCGGAGCCCAGCAGGTCGAGGCTGCGGTGGCCGGGAGCGGCCACTGCACTCCAGTCTGGGCGACAGAGTGAGACTCCAACTAAAAAAAAAAAAAGAACTGCCACAAAGGAATAAGGACAATTAGCCTGCACTTTCATCTCATCATCGTGCCTTATCCATTTTAATAAACTATCACTGCATATGGGTTTATATATAATATGACATACTGTCATTTATAGGCAGTAAAAGATGTTCTTGGAGGTAATCAGATCATGCCATTTCTGCCCTATGGACCCACCTTCTAACCCAAGCCTGGGTAGGATGACCTTCTGCTTTGTAGGGAAGAGCCCAGCGGGACGTGGCCCTGGTCTCCCACTCTATTGCTCTGAGCCTTTTCTCTCTCCTGTAAAATGAAGAGATCTCACCCTGCTTATACATTTTGTGACTGCCCTTCTTCATTTAAATGTTTAAAGTTATTATTTTGGAGAGAAGTTCTTATTTTATATTTAACATAAGATTCTTTACTTGAAAATTAGTTTGGGCTTTTTTTATAGTCATAGAAAATTTCAAACATATTTGCAAATAGAGAGAATAGATGACTTCTCATGTTTCAAAGACTGTCCGCTCATAGCTTTGTTTCCTTTATGCCCTGCTCACTCTCCTTACCCTGAATTATTTAGGATGGATCTCTAAAAGAAAATCAGAATTTTTTTTTACGTTTAATGCAATCACCATACCATTATCACATCTAAAAAAGAATTAGCAATAATTCCTTAATATGATCAAATATCTAATCAGTGTTCAAATTAGAAATTTTTTTCTTATATTATGTGTTACTTAACAATGTATTTGAATCAACATCTGCGCATTGGGATTGGTTGGCATGCCTCCTAAGTCTCCTAATTTATAGGTTTTCCTGCTATCTCTAGTGCTCTCTCTGTTGCAGGCTATTTGTTGAAGAAAGCAGCTCTTTTGTGCCATAGATTTTCCCACAGTCTGGATTTTACTGATTTCCACCTGTCTTGTAATTCAACATATTTCTTTGTTCTCTGTATTTTCTGTAAATCAGTAATTGAATCTAGAGCCTTAATAGGATTCAGGTTTAATTTATTTTTCTTTCTTTCTTTTTTTTTTTGGCAAGCCTTAACTTTGTATTTTTAAAGTTTCTTTTATTGCCTTTCACAGTATCTATTTTTAGGGTTACTTGTTAAAAATCCTAGCTGCGCCAAGGTACCGTGAGACTGTTCTGTCCTATTTCATCTTGAACAATAAAAGGGAATAATGATCTCTTTTGTATTTAAACTGCAGAATTAAATGCCCAAATACATTTTCCATTCCAATGAGACTAGATGTAAGGAATCAGTTAGAGGAATATGTCAGAGATGTCCAGAGATTTCCACTATGCTCTTTTCAGATCTCTCTCTGGCCTGTACACTTCAGGTCTGAATTATAAAGGGACCTGACTCTGTGGGCGGAGGCATGTGTTGTCTTCACCTGGTGCCAGATGGTGATGGGACCCACAGGTAGGGTAAGTTAGACTGGACTCTCACCATAGCACATCGCAGGCCTCCTTCCCTCCAGACCTCCTCGTCTCCCGCCCACCACTGCCCCCTGAGTATCAGTGGACAGAAAGGTCTCCCACCAAATATCCAAGAAGCCCTCTCTAGTTACTGTCTTAGTTTGGTTTGTTGTTGTTGTTGTTGCTATTAACAATACCACAGACTGGGTAATTTATAAAGAAAAGAAGTTTATGTAGCTCTTGGTTCTAGAGGTTGGGAAGTCCAAGGGCATGGTGCTGACAATTGACAAGCAGTCACCCATGGCAGAAGAGTAGAAGTGGAAGCGAACATGTGAGACAGGGAAGCAGGATGGATTCACCTTTTTGTCAAGAACCCACTCCCACCATAACTGACCTATACCTGTGATAATAGCATCAGTCCATTTATGAGAGCGGAATACTTGTGTCCTAATCACCTCTTAAAGTCCCCACCTTCCAATAGCAATGAGTTTTGGCAGAGACATTTAAGCCATGGCATTCTGCACCTGATCCCCCTTCCAAAAAGTCATGTCCTTCTCACATGTATCCCAATAGCTCCAGAAGACTTAACTTGGTCCAGCATCAAAAGTCCAGAGCTTAGAGTCTCATCTAAATCAGATATGGGTGAGACTCAAGGCACAAACATCCTGAGGTGAATTCCTTTCAGCTATAAGCCTGTGAAATGAAACAAGTTATCTACTTCCACAGTACATTGAGTGTGACAGGCATAGGATAGACACTTCCATTCCCAAAGGGAAAAATAGGCAAGAAAAAAGGGGTAACTGGTCCAAAGTTAATCCAAAACCCAACAGGGACAATATTTAATCTTAAAGCTGGAGAATAATCTCCTTTGCTTTCATGTCCTGCATTCTGGACACACTATCGCGGGGACTGTGTGGGCTCCAAGGCCTCAGGCAGCCCTGCCCAGATGGCTTTGTTGCTGGGTGCAGTCTATGCTTCAGCTCTCTCAGGTTGGAGTTATATGCTGGGTCTGTGGTCTTTGGGTAGCCCCCCTTCCACAGCTCTGCTTGGCATTTCCCTAGTAGTGGCTCTGTGCCGTGCCTTAGCAGCAGGTTTCTACCTGATTTTCCAGGAGGTCCTTGGCATCCTTTGAAATCTAGGTAGAAAAAGCCATGGCCTCACAATTCTTGCATTCTGTATGTGTACAGGATTAGCACCATGTGGACACCACCAAGGTTATGGCTTATTCTTTCCAGACTGATAGCTCAAGCCACAACGTGGTCCACTTGAGCTACAGCTGGGACAGCCAAGAAGCACTATGCTGTTATGCAGGCAGCAGAGTCCTTAGGTGGCCCTGTGCATTGAACCCATGGAGGGCTCACAGAGCCTGTCTCCCCAAGCCATTCTGCCTTCTGAGAGCTTGGGACCTGTGATGAGAGGAGCAGACTTGAAGATCTCTTAAATGCCTTTGGGAGACTGTTTCCCATTTTCTTGTTAAATGGCACCTGGCTTCCTTCTGTCCATGGTAATCTCTTTAATCAAAAGTCATTTCACCACACCCTTGGTATTCTCTTCAGAACATGTTTGTTCGCTCTTTACATGGACAGTCTTCAAATTTTCCAAATTGTTCCACTCTGCTTTCCTTTTAATTATAAACTCCATCCTTAAGTCATTTCTTTTCTCTCACATGTGAGAGAATGGGAAGATCATGACACTGGCATCTGGTGAGGGTCATCCCATTGCAAAAGCAAGCATGCAATACAGAGAGGGAAGTGGGCCCGAGTCATCTCTTTTATCAGGAACCCACTCCTGATATAACAGCATTTGTTTATTCATACCCTCATGACCTAATCACCTACTTCCCAATACTGTTACATTGATAGTTAAGTTTCAATATGGGTTTTGGCAGGAACTTTCAAACTGTAGCAGTCACCCAGCCTGCAGGGACACCTCTAATCTCTCTTTAGGTTTTAGAGACTTTATGTCTGTGTTTCTTCTTAGATATGCCTCCTTCTGTGGGTCGGTTTCAATTTGCCTTTGTGTCTGTGAGACTGTAACCTTCTGAGGTTTTGTGGACATGAACCGTCTCCTATGCTCCTGTTGACATCTACTTCACTTAGCATGGTACCTTTTAGTCATTTATTCACAAACATTTTCTGAGTGCTTCTCGGTGCTGCGCCTAGTGCTGCAGTCACACAGATAGACGATGGTGACAGTAAGATTCACTGATATTTACTATATGCCCAGACCCCATTCTAAGCACTTTGTGTGAGTTGCACATTTGATCTTTATGCATTGGGTAGAGGTATTTTACGATCCCTCTTTTATAGATGCGGAAACAAAGGCACAGAGAGGTTCACCAACTTGCCCAAGGTCACATAGATGGCAAGTGATAGATCTAGGACTCAAACCCAGACAGTCCAGCTAGAGAGCCCCTTGCCTTTCATCACTGCCTCCAAGGATCTCCGAGTTCAGATCAGAACTTGACCTGCAAACTTGTTTGTAATAAATGCTATAAAAGATGGGTGGGCATAAGGCTAAGAGGCACGTAAGAGCACACCAGACGCGCTGGAATGGTGCAGGCTTCTTGGAGGTAAGATGTGAGCAGGATTTTGAAGCGTCTCAGTGAACAGCTGGCTGCCTGCCTAGGCCCAGCTAAAAACCTGGAGACTGCTTCCTCTCCATCACTCTTCAAATCAGTGGGTCGCCAAGTTCTGTTAATTCAACAGTGAAGTTCAACTCCATCTCCTGTCTGTTGCCAGTGCCCCTGGGGCTGCCTAGATACCAGTCTTCTTGCCATCCTGCACTTCAAATCCATTCTCCGTGCTGTTGCCAAAATGATCTTACAAAATTCAGACCTGTATCTCATGCTTCTGCTTAGAATCATTCCATCTGGCTAAGGGCTTGAGAGGGTACAATACTATAATCTTTTTCCTCACCTGGGTTCAAAAATAAGTAAGAGATAAGGTGGAAGAAGGATATGGAGTTCAGAGTAGTATCTTTTTTACTGGGCATTCACATCTTCCGGGAAATGCCACTTTCTTACCTTGGAGACTCCAGTCAGTCAAGATGTAACTCTTCCCAAGGAAGGAGGGAGGGGTGGAGGAAGCTTCCCTGCTTCTCGTCAAGAAGGAAGAAGGATTCCCACCACGAAACCTCCCACAGGAAATATGAGATCTTGCTTGTGCATTTGGGACTTTCATTGTCGGGAGTATTCCATCATATCCATCCACTTGTACTCCATACTCAGGTGCCCCTAACTGCTTTTAGTTACCTACACAGACCTCCCTTCCAGACTTCTTTTGCCTTACGTGTTTTTTGCCTGATTTGAAAGCCTTTCCCTGCCTTCTCTACCTGATGAAACTTATACCCCAAAACCAATCTTAAACTCATGCCCTCCATGAAATGCACGCTGACCTCCAAGGTAAGTAGGCAACTCTCTTCTCGAGGCCAATCATCCTTTGTACATAACTCTTTTCATTCTAACCCTAGGGTAATGGAATTTGTATCTTTCTCCTCCACATTACACTTCCTGCTCACAGAGAATAAGTCTGAATTATCCTTTGCCCCCACTGTCTCAAGCCCAGGGCCTGATGCACAGCAGACGCTCAGCAGGTACATGGGGAATAAAGGAATGAGCTCAAGAGACAAAGGCTAGGTGACATGCAGGTGGGCTGGAGGACAGGCAGCACAAAGACTGGAAGCTGTGAGTATCCAGTGTCTCAGGAAGGTAGAGACCTGCTTGGGGGTGAAAGTGATGAAAGTGAGTTAGATGAAGAGGGTCACCTGCTTTAGGGAGGGCTTTATGCGGCTGTAGTTGGAACCTCAAGGGTTTTTAAGTGAAAAAACAACATGGTCTAATCTGTGTCTCATCAAGAAACACTGTGGAGGGTGAGAGAGTCCACGAGGAAGATGGGTTGGGGGCAGGAAGTACAGTCTGAGGGTGCATCAGGGTTCTAGGTGACAAGTAGCTGAGGCTGAACCAAGGCAGAGGCATTGAAGATGCAGAGAAAGGGCTGGATTTGAGTCATTTAAGGGGTCATCTCAACAGGACACCATTCCTCTTGTGATGGCTGGGAAGGAACTTGAGGGCGACTCAAGGTTTCTAGTTTGTGCCACTGGGTGGCCATTGGTGCGTGACAGATTGAGGGACATAGGAGAAGCCTCTTGAAAGGAGGAGGTGAATTTGGTTCAGGAAAGTTGGGGCTTGAGGGATCTTTAGAATTGACATGAAGTGTCCTGTTTCATGGGAAATTCTAGTCTGTCCAGTAACACTGGAAATGTCTGGTCGGTGATAGAGATAAAACACTTCAGGGCAGTCCATGTCCAGGGCCTGGTTGGAGCCACAGGATTAGGTTAAGAAGTAGGGAACATATCTCAGAAAAGAGAAGCTGGTTGAGGATGGCATTCTTTGGAGCTGCTGCATTTAAGGGGCCAGAGGGAGGATGAGGAACAGCCACAGGTGAGCAGGAAATTTGAAGACTGGTGGAATCCCTGATTAGAGTTATCAGCGTTGAGACGTGGAGAGGGGACTGGCCCAAAAAGAAGCCATGGGGCGGGGCGCATAGGGGTTCGCACTGCCGTCCACACTGCCTTGTACATTTATCAATTAAAGAAGAATAGAAACAAGGTCCTGGCAGTTTTCATATCCATGGCCTTTTATTAAAGACCAAGATGGGCCTCAGACTCAGGTGTTGAGGCAAGCATTATTCAATGAGAGCTTTAAGTTACACCATGCCTCCTACACCACTCAGAGAAACAAAGCCCCTAATTATTCCTCTTGCTTGGCAAGAGACGGCACACAGAGCTGGAGATTAATGCGGAAGCAAAGATCCAGTGTGCTGGTTAATAAGTTTCTCTGGCAGCCATTGTCTTATTGATCATCATTAATTTGGATGTTCATTACCATAATGCGGAAGCCTAGCTGGAGTTCCAACCCCTCCTCACGCCACCCCCTTGGTCTTGGACGACCTGGCTCCCATTCCCACGCAGTTTTCTTCCCTCTCTCCCACCCTTTCTTTACACAAAATGTACAATTGCTGTTTTAAATCGGGGCCTTGACATTTTAAGTGGGTATGTGCCTAGGTTTCCACAAGTGTGATTGCAAACCCATAAATTACAGGTTTCTCTCTCCTGGGACAAGTGTAAAATGGGCCTCTTTGTACTGCAGGTGAAGTGGTAGCTTTGGCAATCACAGCAGGCGCTTTGTGTGGCGATTGTCATGATAAGCATCTGTGATTCTCCACCTGCCAGTGTTTGCAGGAGGCTCTGCCTGCTCTTTGCAGCTGGAAGGAGCCCCAGCTGTCATACCTGCCTTCCTGGCAGGAGGAAGGGAAGAGCCCCCAAGTGCCTGCCCTCTGGTGGTCAGGGTGTGCAATGGCAGTCTAGTGGAGTGACCTGCCTCCCCACCCAAACACGACAGGCCTCTGGTTTGGGAAAATGGAACCTAACCTCCTTCGACCCGTGTGCAGCCCAGGACAGCCTGTTTTGCTCTTTGGAAGGGACTTAACTCACGCACAGACTTACACACTGCAGATCCTTTCTCGTGTTCCTCACTCTTTCCATGCCATGAAACTGGCACATTTAACATTGGCATAGATAAGAAATCTGGGCAAGTATTAGAATATGTTAAACATTAAAAATCATTTTCAGTCTGTAACTTTAATAATTAATTCACTGCCTAATTTTCCGATGGGAGGATATGAGCTTTAAAAAAACAAAAACAAAAAAACCCTTATCTGTAGATGTATGCCAGCTTGCATAGGAACTTAAGATAAAATGTGCCAGTTGTTCTACTTGTGCTTGTGTTATCTCTCTGCCATTCTGCTCTTCCCACTACACAGATGTGGAAGGAGAAGGCAAGCTGGAGCACTTGGACTGCTTTCTTGTTTGGAACTTAAGATGACACTGTGCCCCCAACAGGCACTCAGTGAATGTCACTGACTTAAGGGAACTGGGCCAAAGCCAGACCACAAACTGCAGTAGTGGGAATTCCCAGCCCCTGCCTGCCCCACCTGCCTTTGCTTCACCACCAGACTGTGGCTATGCACAGCGGAAGCTGCTGGTATTGGCTGTTTCCATAATGCTTTTCTTTCTCCGGTGTATTATGAGAGCCTCAAATCAGACAGGGCACTGGCGTAATGTTTACCTATTCTGAAGAAATCACCCAGAGAACAGGTTGGCAAAGACATGCGTTTATTGATACTTAAAAGAGGGACTGATGGTATAAAAGCTCTCCACACCCCAGAAGGGAGAGACTATATACCCTCAGTGTGGGAAAGGGAGCAAGACACAAACAATAGCATTACCGTGCATAGAAGCAGGCCCAAGGATGTTTGCTCTTTTAGTAACTGTCTTGAGTATGCAAGTATGCATAGCTCCAAGGGCATCTTGACCAAGCACAGACTGCCTTGACCAGGGACCATCCTTCCAATCAGGGAATGGTCATCAGCCAGGGAGGGGTGTATATGTCCTGCACTCACCCCACAGGTATAGTTGAATGGATAGAGAAACAATGATGTATAGGCACAAAACCAATTTTTGTGTATATAAATAGCCATCCCTAAAACTCAGATCCAGGGATATCCAGAGACCTGAGTTCTGGCTCCGGTTTTGCTACACACTCGCTGTGTGTCCTAGAGAGGGCCATTCATCTCTCTGAGCTTTCATTCCACTTCTATAAAATAAGAGGGAAATGAAATTAATGAGAGTATTATTTAGGACATGGTCTGAGGCAGGTGGATGAGGCAAGGGCAAGGTGGAAGTAGAGGTTGTTCCTCTTCTGGGTGCTCATGGGCCTTACAAAGCTTTTTTATTTTCTTAACCATTTACATAAGAAAAACAAAAGCAACAAAAACTGGGATGAGGGTGGGGCCACTGACACTGAAAAAACAGAAAAGCAACAGCAGCACCATCCTGCTGAGCTCTGCCACCCATCCCAGGGGTGTTTGTCTCATAGCACTCAGGGACCATTGTGACCGTCATCACCACAGATGCTAAAACATCAAGTCCTTATAAATCTCTCCAGTGCTGAGGACCAGGGTGGAGAGGATGGCCATGAAAATCAGAACTGGAATATAGAATTCTCTATGTCCTCTTCAATGTCCTCTGCAATGCTGCTAAGCAAATGGGAAAGTGAGCGTGCCTTCTGGTACTAGAGTCACAAGCAGTGTGACTGTGGGGTCATGATGGTCTCATCACATCCCTTCTTGTCAAAAGCTTTGGGTATGTACCCCCATCCCAGCCCATCTCTTGGGGTCCGATCTCTGCCGTGCCCAGCCACTCTGTCTCCAGCATCCTGAAGACCAATGCTGAAGACCAAGACCAGAAATGCCTTGAGCCGTCCCATATAAATTCCCACTGAAACCCTGAAGTTCTAGAAAGTAGAATTTTTTGGTGCGACATCATTTGCAAAATGGTTCTGTGCTTGTTCCTCTCTTCCAGGCTTTCACCACTTTCCTGTGTCTGTACGGCATGGTTTGGTACGCAGAGCACTACGGTCATCGGGAAAAGGTATAGAAGGGGGATGGGGCAGAGCTGGCCTTTATTTAAAATGGTCACCCCATGCTTGGAGGGTTAGCCCAGAGCGTCTGCGTGTAAGAATACGGCCTAGCAGGTGTTGTGGGAGCATCTTCAATCTTGCCACTATAGAAATATAACCATGTTGGAAATCATTCTCTGTCACTTGCTGTCCCTGCTTGTAACTGCCCTATTCAGTAGGTCAGTATTTTTAACTTCCTTCTATAAGGAGTTTAAAAATTACGTGTTTGTAGCAAGACCTCATCTCTACAAAAAAAAATCCAAAAATTAGCAAGGCATGATGGTATGTCCCTGTAATCCCAGCTACTTGGGAGGTTGAAGTGGAAGAATTGCCTGAGCCCAGGAGGTCAAGGCTGTAGTGAGCCATGATTGTGCTACTGCACTCCAGCCTGGGTGACAGAATGAGACCCTGACTTAAAAAACATAAAATAAAATTTTAAAAATTTACATGTTTGTTTTAAAATTTTTTCTTGTTATGGGAAAGCCCTGTACTCGTTTTTGGGAGCCAGGCTTTATATTCCTGGCTCTTGAACTCTGTGTAGGCCTCTTCCTGTGCCCCAGCCTGGGGTTCCCCCTCTGCAAATGCATGTCCTGTTCTTATGCTGGTAGATACAAGGATTAAAGAAGAAAATAGACATGAATGGGCTTAAAGGGCTATAGCAGTCTTACAGGCTGTCATCTTTTTTTAAGTGAAAAAAACATTTTCATCCTTTATACCTTTAGTCTGAAGAACTAAAAACACATTCTAGATTTATTCTGTGTGGGAGAGAGAAGAGTCTTAATTTCATAGCTGAGAAACATAAGCACAGGGAGGCTGTGTCACTTGCCTGGTGATGGAAGAAGCCTGGGACCAGGAGGGAGGAAGCATGTTTCCTTTTCTGTGAGCTGCTCCTCCCAGGGAATTCCTGAAATGCCATCACTAAGCCTGTCTCTCTCCCTAGACATACTCAGAGTGTGAAGACAGCACCTACAGTCCAGACATTTCCTGGTATCACAGGAAAGGTACAAAAGGTATCTTTTTCTTGTTCATTATTTAAAACTTCAATGGGTCTTTGAGATGTGCAATTATGATTTATCCTGAGTGTTGATGATATATGCCTTGAAGGATCCCAGACCTACTCATCAAATGTCTCCTGTTACTTATTAAGAAATGTGCAAAATGAGGGCTGGGAGCAGTGGCTCATACCTGTAATCCCAACTTTGGGAAGCTGAGACAGGAGGATCACTTGATGTCTGGAGTTTGAGACCAACCTGGGCAACATAGTGAGACTTCATCTCTAAAAAAATAAAAATGCAAAATGCTTACAGAATCTGTCCAAGAAAGTTACTTTGTTATCAGGTTCCATGTAGCTCTGAGGCAGGAAAACATAATGAGACCTGCACTGTCCTAAGCACTCTGATGGGAAAGTTCTTGGCTTTCATCATGAGTGAAAAGAGCTAGAAAGAATTATGCAGCAGGGCCAGGCATGGTGGCTCATGTCTGTAATCCCAGCACTTTAGGAGGCTGAAGCAGGAAAATCGCTTGAGCCCAAGAGTTTGAGACCAGCCTGGGCATCATAGTGAGACCTTGTCTCTAAAAGAAATAAAAAATTTAAAAAATTAGACTGGCAGCACAAACCTATAGTTCCAGCTACTTGGGAGACTGAGGTAGAAGGAACACCTGAGCCCAGATGAGTCTGTGGTAAGCCGTGATTGTGCCACTGGCCTCCAGCCTGGGCAACAGAGTGAGACCCCCAACTCAAAAAAAGAACTATGTATCAAGAGCAAACACCCTTCAAAAGAGGTGGATCAGTTTAATCATGTGTAATCAAGAAGCAGAGCAGTATAAGAGAGATTTTAGAAGTGTAGCTAGGGACCCTCCATCGGCCTCTCTCCAAGGAACATTTTTGGAAAGGTTTGGAGCTACCTGATTATTTTAAATAATTGTACTTGTGGAATAATGACACTCAGGAGATTTCACTGGACAGGAATTCCCTATCAGTTCATACAAGCTGTTGGGAAGCTTGGCTGAGGAAAGAACATTATGATCCTAAAGACTGAATTTTTGCCCAAAGAATTGCTCAGAGAAACAGTGGGCTGATGTTCTTTTGGTATCAAGTTTATTAACAATCCCCCTGGGGAAAACAGTAGCATATACTCTGCTGAGTTGCTGGCCACCCTTTTTGGGAGAGTTTCTCCTGAATCAAGGAGTCAGTCAGCAAATGACCCATTGTGGAATTCTGATGGAGACAGGCAGAGGGGTTCTCAGACCTGTCTTATTCAGAACCACCCCCTTACAGATCAGTTTTAGCACTTCTGGGTTCTCTTTCGGAAAGAATTAAACAGTGGTAGAGATAGATTTATTAGACGGAATAGTAAAAAAAGTAAAAGATCTGCATAGTGGTAAAACAATATCTTAGTCTAAGCCAAATGCTACTTACAATAGAGACAAAAACTCCGGGAACTTTTTTTTTAATGGCATTCTTAGGTGGAGAGTCCTTACAGAGGCTGGATCACAGGCCTGGAGCAGAGACCCATTTGGCTTGGCTGCCAGACCAGGCAGGGGTTGACCATTGGACTGCCCTCAGTCTGAGGACAGAGCCAGGGCCGTCTGTCATGGACAACAGGGGCCTGATTTGTAAAGATGGCCTCCAGATCAAATGGCAGAGGGCATGTAATATCTTTACTTTTATATTGCCATAAATCCTTCCCAAATTGGGGCTTAGAAACTCTAGGGTGTAGCAAGTCAAGATACGGACACCCAGGTAACACAGCCCTTGGTCGCAAGGGTAGGATGAATGCCATGTGGTTTATGTTCTAACTGCCCCTCATCTGTGCAGTTTCACTTGTGGTCTCATTTCTGGTCCTCATCACTACAACCACAACCTACCCTACACAAGCGCAGGTGTGACATTCTTCAGGAACCACCCAGACTCAGTGGGGCTGTTGCTTTGCACCCCTGGAGACACTAGCTGTGCTAGTTCAGAGCTTGAGTGCCTCGACTAAATTTATTCGTGAGGCCACTAGGTGGAGTGCAAGTACCAGGGAAAAGCCTGCTCTTGACTGGCCCGCCAGGGGCAGCCTGGCAAGGGAGGACCACGGATCACAGGAGCCCAAGGTGGTGACGGTGTGCTCTGATTCCTTTGGCCAGGTTCTGAAGACAGCCCACCCAAACATTCAGGCAACAACGAAAGCCATTCTTCCAGGAGAAGGAATCGACATTCCAAGTCCAAAGTCACCAACGGAGTTGGAAAGAAATGAAAGACCCTGGTTAATCAAAGATGTTCCAGAGAGTGCCTAGAACTGAGGGGGAAACGGAACTCGTGTGGACCTCCCTGTGAGGAGGTCAGACATAAAGAGCAGACAGGAAGAGGCGAGGGAACTCTGGGGGTCATTATTTGAGAGAGTAAGTCTTGTTTTCCACAGCCCTGGCCACATCAGGGTCCTTTGCCAATTTTGGGTCTCTTCTAACTTGAGCACTTCTCATGCAGTCACCACCGATAGCAGTGCGATGTGCTGGAGGTAAAAGGTAGCTACTTACCCACAGTTGCCAAGAGCAGCTCTGTGCTTGTTGTATTGTGGACACAGCGTCAACATCTGCATTCAGGCAAGGCATTAACCTGTCAGTTAGTGGACTGGTGGCCAGTTTTTATTTTTATGAATCTGCTTTTCCATTGGTTGATTTGTTTAAGTTCAGGCCACTTTTCTGTCTTTTCTTATGTTGGTGTTATTTGGTTTTAAGTTAGGATGCTTTTAAAAGCCTTCAGAAGCCACTCCTGAAGTTGAAACTGGGGGGAGGCTTCCCCTTCCTTCTAGAGGAGAAAGGGGACAGCTATTGCGTTTCTGTTTAATAACCTCAGCCCCCTTTTTAAAAGAACTTCAACCTTATGGCAGGTGTGCACCGGTCAGAGGAAAGAGTAGCTGTCTGCATAGGAAACTCACTTCAGACTGGAACCTTTCTTGTTCCCTTTCAAATGTCATTTGTCCAGACTTACCCACAGCGCACAAAAGTGAACCTGCTAGAGAGGCAGAGAACACCACGGCTTCTCCCCCAGTCAGGTGCCTTTTACATTTGATTTGTTTTCCTTCTGTGGTATATTGCCGACATTGTCTTTGAGTCCCTTGTGAGGTGCTGGTGAGTATTGCCTTTCATCTGTGCCATGCTCTACAACATTTACCCTGACAGTTCACCACCTCTAATGGAACCCTGTTTTAAATAAAATGATTCACATTAAAGCCTGTCAAAGATCCGTCTCTGTAAAATGCTCTTCTTTTTTTTTTTTTTTTTTTTTTTGCATCTTATTGGTGCTTGCCATTGCTTGTAAGCAATCACTTATTTTTCAGGATAATATATATGTGTGTTTTATACAGTGAGAAGAAGGAAAAAATATGTATTTAAAAGGGCTCGCAGACACATACAAAGGGGGACCAAAAAACCCTGGAATTTATTTATAAAAAATTGTGTATTCTTACACATTTAAACTTCAGTCATCTTCAAGGTACTCTCTGTTTGATGCAATACGCCTCTCGAGATGCTTTTTTCCTGCTGTTTTTTTGTTTCACCTCCTACACATTGGCAAAATGTGTCCTTTGTTTCTTTTTTTTTTTTTTTTTTTTTTTTTGAGTTGGAGTCTCACTCTGTCGCCCAGACTGGAGTGCAGTGGCCGCTCCCAGCCACCGCAGCCTCGGCCTGCTGGGCTCCGGCGATCCTTCCACCTCAGCCTTCCGAGTAGCCGGAATTACAGGCATGCGCCACCACGCCCAGCTGATTTTTTTGATTTATTGTAGAGATGAGGTCTCGCTACCCAGGCGGGTCTCGAACCCGCGGGCTCAGGCAATTCACTCACCTCAGCCTCCCAAAGGCGCGGGATTACAGGCTGAGCCACCGAGCCCGGCTGTGTCCTTTGTTTCTTTATCCAGAGAAACAAAAGTCTCTCGGACAAGATCATGTGAATAGGGAGGGTGAGGCACAGGGGTTATGCTGTTTGTGATCAAAAACTACTGAACACCCATCATGGTGTGGGCAAGTGTGCTTGTAAGTCACCCATCATGAAATGGGCAAACACCTTGAAAGAATCTCCAAAAAAAATTAACTAAAGCCTAGTGTAGCCTCTCACCACACTTGCTGGTACACTGATGCTGATGGTTTCCTAGAACACTTATCTAAGGGAGGAAGCCTCTATTACAAGGGTCCCCCCTCAAAAAATAATTCTGTTTTTATGGGGGGGGTCCCTCCTTATATGTCCTACTTCTTTGCTTTCCCAAGTGATCAATAGGAAGTGAACAACACAGCCATTGTTTTTTTCCCCTGTGGTAATGGTTACCAACTCAGAGGTTTTTTTCCCTCTAACTAGAGGCCAGTGCCTGGCTGATTAACTTACAGATAGCAACTGAAAGCAATCCTTTTGTTCCTTCATTTCACAGAACACAAAGGTTTGGATGTCTTTTCTCCCTTTAAGGAAATCTTTAACCATCGAAGTGTGGTGTTTTTCTTCTTTTGCAAAAGAACTCTGAGGTGAAGGTGTTAAATGAATCACTCACAGCCAGGCTCATATCCTGGGCTCTGGGCTCTGGGTTGGAGTTGGCTTGGTTGAGAGCTGCCTGCAGGTTGCTCCAGCAGGATGAGCTGGAGTGGAGGAGCCTCAGCAGTGGTGGCTCTGCTCACCTGGTGAGTGAGAGGATGGCGAAGTCTGAGCTCTCACGTGCTGGCCAGCATCCGCCTCCTTCCCACAGAAGTACTAAAGAGAGGCAAAGCAGTGCATGCTTATCCACCTGCCTGTACTTTTACAACCCATCAGAGCAGCCTTTTCAGGGTCGCTGAGAAGAAGGGAAGGCTGGAAATAGAAGGGAAGCTAAATACAGGGTGGGGAAGGAAAAATGGAACAATTGGCAGCCAGAATGAAGTGAGCCAAAGCTTTAAACATGGGGAGCTTAACTCCCATGCTCTTTGGAACCTACAGTGATTGCTGCGAAGTTTCTGGCTCACCCTGATGTTTACCAGGTGGGCGTTGTTTTTATAGTTCTTATTGTGAGGACAACTAGAAATCCCACAGGTAGACTATTGCAGTACTCAGTGCATTTCCCAGGCACAATTTAAACATGATTTTACTCTGCAAAGAGATAAATGTGTTTTGTTTTATCCTGTATTTTGCTTTTCTGGGCACGAGTGCTCATGCACCTCAGATACCTCATCTTTCCTTCCTTGTGCCCGTAGCACATCTCTGAGCATTTTCCCAGGAGAGCTGGGCACTTGGTCATTCCTCTGATTGAAAGCCTGGCCCGACAGATGAAGCAGGTGTCCCTTCTCCAAGGTCAGCCTTCAGAAGGCACCTGTTTAGCATGTGGGGAATTGGACTTTACCATGGCATATGGGAAAAGCAAAGTGCACATGAGATGCTTTTTTCCTCTGTAACTGCAGGAATCAGCCAGAAACGTCCTCAGATACTTTCCATGCCCTTTCTTTTAGTTTAAACTTTCTTCCCCCTTGCACTAAGAGCCCTTGACTACAGTGGTGACAAATCAGTGCTTTCCATGGTTGGCCAGAACCGCAGCTGCCATTCCTTTTAGAATTTATACAGCTGGGTTGGTCCTACTTTTTCCACCCGTTTCTATGGAAATAGACCTTGTATTGATGGAAATAGAATACATGTTTTAGAATCATCATTCAATATCTGAAATGACTTGATTGAAAATAATCTTATGTTCCCCATGTGCAAAATGCCCTGTTAAGAGGTACCATTGTTTTGGGCCTCAAGCATGGACTATTTTATGTATTTTTCTCCTAAAGTAGTATCTCATTGAGTGTGAGGTTCTTTTTCTCTTTGTGTCATTCTTGGTCTTTCCAGGGCCCCTCCCCACATTTCTTATGTCTGTTTTCACCATTTGTGGAAGCCTCAGCCAAACTGCTCCCACAGCAATGCTGGGATGTTTCATGAACTCATTGAGCATTTTGATGCTACAAGACATCTTATAAATGCCAGTCTTATTGTCACTAGGACTGCTGCTATGGTAAGCTCGTGAGTAAGGTTCTCACACAGGAGAAAGAAAGTAAAGTTCATTCCCAAATATTAATACATCAGGCTCAGCCCTACTAGTCTTCCCTCAGAAGCCACTGCATAGCATCCCAAAGTGGTACCTCTTTATGTGAAGGCTCGCTCCTTGGAATTGGGTTCCTGGAGTGTTTTGGTTAGGATAGTATGCTTTAGAGAGGCCCTCAGAGTTACTGAGAAGAAGGAGAGGCTGAAAACAGAAGGGAGGCTAAACAGAGGGTGGGGAAAGAAAATCAGAACCATTGGCAGCCAAACTTAAGCGAGCCCTTTAAACCTGGGAGGCTTAACTCCCATGCTCTTTGGAACCTACGGTGATTGCTGCAAAGTTTCTGGCTCACCCTGATGTTTACCAGATGGGCACTGTTTTTATGGTTCTTATTGTTAGGACAACTAGAAAACTCACAGGTAGGCTATAGCAGTGCTTAATGCATTTCCCATTTATATGACTGAAATTGAGATGTAAGGAGAGCTAAACCTTTGTATGTCAGTGTTCCATTACTTAATCCATCTCTTGCCTTCACACGTATGTCCACAGTTCAGGATTATATAGAGATTTGGATCTTTGCAAGGGTCAGTATTGGTAATGGCTGAGACTGGTGGGCTGCCATCTTGTTGCTAACTTATAATAATTAGATTTTTGTAACATTTCCCCTTATCACATTTTATTCTAAACCTGGTGGTAGACTATCGCAGGTGAAGGTTGCAATATTTTTTTAAATTGAACTTTGCATTCAATAAATATGGCTTTTTTATTTTGCTATCTTCTGTGAATTTAAAGGAATTCTTTTTTATTGATGTCTACCAAAGAAAGGGGGAAATAGTTGGATATGAATTTCTTTGTAGTTCGTAGGAATACTGGAATGTAAAAATCCAGTGTTCACTAAAAAGCACCTTTAGTCCATTTCAGAAATTTCATCTGTGACTTTGTCTATCATGGTATTCCCTTTCTTGCAGCTTGTCAGGTGGAATTTTGAAGTTGCCCGTCCTATGAGAAGGTGTTGGTTGTCACAGTCTAACACTGTTGAAGGGTTTGCAACATGTCCTCATACCTGTAAGGCCTCACATGGCTAAACTCAGCTTATACCTCGTGATACTCTGATACTCTTAATACTCTGGATGAAAACTGGTGTCTGTATTCAGCAAACTTGGTTGGGTGGGGAGGTGGATGACAGGCAAACTTCTTGCCTTCAGTCCTGGCAAAAGGGACCATGAGCCCCCAGCATTACTGTCCTCTTAGAGCAGAGACAAGATATGTGTTGGCAAATCCATCCCCCTCTCATAAACCTACTGAGGACAATAGGTAGCATCATTCAGAAAACAGAATTTGCCTGAGGGTTTTGCTTTCACAGCTGATACAACCAACCACCCAGCCTCTCTAACTGGTCTGGGCTCATGTGTCTACTTCCTGGGTCCAGGCATTCATTATTGGTTCATCTTTGTTACTGGAATGCCCTGAAAAAGTGCTGCTGAAGGCCTGCACACTGGGCACCGATGATGCCCTGTGATGGCTGGAAGGTTTGCTCAACACCACCATCTGGGAGCCTCAGATTCCGGTGTTCCAGCAGGGGCATATACCCTTAATGAATGCTGAGTAAAGGGGACTCTTGTGGGTTTACAAACCACAGGAAATGAAGTTTTTAAATTTGAGATGAAAGCACCAAAATATTGCATTTTCATGTCTGAAGTACACACACAATAGCCTTAATCACGGAGTCAAATTGCAGGCAGGCAGGATTTATGTAACAATCCCATACTAGAAATCTGAACTATAAACCTGACTGTTCCCATGCGCCTGACAAAGGGCTGTTCAGGCTCATTCTCATCTATCCAACTGATACATCATGGACTGATTAGGTGTTTTATGGGTGCAGCCTGGGAAGAGCTTAAGAAAGATCTCCAGCTTTCAAAATGTTAAGGATCCTTCTCTTAGAGTGGATGAAATCCAGACCAGGATCAGACGGGTGAGAGCTCACTAGGGCCACTGCTAGCCAATCTTCCAGATGCGGCCATTCAGAGGGCTGGAACCTTGGAGACACCCTTGTGTGGGGTGCTTGCCCCCTTCCCCAACCCCACCCTCTCATCTCTGCGTCCCCCTAGTGGCTGCAGTACACAAGCTTGCACACACAGCACACGGCCAGTAGGGGGCCGTCAGCTCAACACAGAGCCTGGGGCTCTTTCTCCATTCCAGCTTCCTTGA